ATTTTGGAAATCCGGAAAGTTAGGGGCGAGAATATTGGAAATTTTGGAATTGAGTTTGTGAGGGCTGATCGCCACCCATCCGATGACACACCATGCACATCTACTCAGTTGAGAGGGCATGGTCTGTCAACGGGGGGGGGGCGACCATATATATATATATATATGTATTATATATATACACACACACACCTCAATCGAGGGGAAAGTCCTCACGTAGCATCACTGCTAAATGCCTCGGTCAGATTTGGTCAGGGTGGGGGCGGCCAAAAGAAGAAGAAGGGGATAGACGGCGATGAGAGGGCACCCTTAGCAAGCAAGCAAGCAAGAACTAAACCTAGCCGTTTTTTCAACACATTGTTTGCGAGGCGAAGTTAAGCCGATGAATTCGAGGGATCGATTCACTCTTCATTCCAACCAAGGAAGGCAAAAGAACATACTCGCTCGAAGAAGTGGGGGACTAGCATGTTTTTCCCTCGTGATCACGGAAGCAGGCCAGCGAGTGAGAGTGCTTGCGTTCATGTGGTCGTGAGGGTTTTTGCTTGAGACATGTGGGCTTGCTGCTCGGGGGAATCGCTGGCCTCCTTCATTTTACTGCCAACATACGGCCGACCCTCCCCTGGCAAACACCGCAGAACGGAACAAATCTGAACTGCGGGTGTGCGAGAGTGCCGGCATGACTTGCCCCACCCCGTTGAAAGAGCATACATAGAGGCATGCTTGCGCAGTCGAAGCTGAAGCTGCAGCATTGCAAGCAATTAGTTGAGAGACATAGTCGGAGAAGACGTCGTCGTCGAGCGCCGGACCGCAGGGCCTGTGGCATTCACTATGCCACAACGTGCGTTTCGTCCCCCGGCACAGGGTGTTACAAGCGCATGAGGAAAGATGCCTCATCCCCCCAGTCAACAGAGTAGGTCCGTACCACGGCAGGGTTTGCAGACACACTGACTCCCCCAGTCAACCTTCAAGCAGGCAACAGCCCCCAAAAGCCAGCAACTCAAACAGGCGCAGAAACGGATTTTACGACCCCGCTCGTGGTCTTGCTCCTGTCTCAGTTCACTTCCTAAGTATCGCCATGTGCTGCTACGAGTTGAACACCTGCCCGCGGTGGGCTGGTAGTCACGTCCCGCCGCTTGTGCACTCGCATGGTCCCAACTTGCATTTCCACACATTGACCACCTGCGTCTGCTTGCTGTGTCAGGGCAGATCCTGGGGCTAGACGTGTTCATCTGCTGGAAATCATCGCTTCCCCAGTTCACCCTTCCGTCTCGTCAAAAACATACTGTAGTCTTCGCCCCGTTCTTTGTGGCCGGGCCTAGGGGGTGCTGGGTCCCCACACCCCCCTCCTCACTCCTGCGAGCAGAGCAGGACCACAGCCCACAAGGGGGACGAGGAGGTCCCGTCGAGCGGGAACATTCCACCTTAACAGAAGGGAATACCTACGGTTGTTTTGCACAGAACTCACACATGAGGTTGGCCTCTTCCGAGCCCCGACAGAACGCCTCATGCGTTTCCGTGGCCGGCATAGTTTGGAAGGTTTGCTGACATTGTGAGCAGGTTCGATTCAGCTGTGTGCTACGTTGGCACGTTTTCAGGTAAAATGTGCTTTACAAAGGTGGCAATACCACGACGGGTGCTCATCCGAAGTCTGCTCCGGTCTTGCGAGCATTCGAGACGATGTCGCAAAATGGTGGCATCCGTGGTATGAAAAGCGAAAGTAGGTTCACAGTACGGGCACGTCCGAGTGAGTTCGTCCGAATTTTGTCGTGGCTTGCGAAAGCCCCTGGCATGATGAGGTTGTTTACGTCGCCCCGACTCGTAATGCCAAGCAAACTGTGAACCGCCATCGTGCCCCTGGCATCATCGAGTGTGCTCGACTATCCTCCCCAGTCCTCGTCCTCGTAAGTCTGCACTCTGGTCGCTGGCCGTCCATGTTTCTGGCTTGGGCGGCGCTGCGCCCCACTGGCGTGACGGAGCATGCTGCCACTAAGGAAACACAAGGTCACAAGGAGATTGTCCTGGTCTTGCCTTTGTGCGGCGTAGGCGTAGGCGAAGCTCCAACCCTGCATGGCGAGTCACGGAGAGAGAATCTGCAACCTTTGCAGATACGCTGGGTGAGTATGCCAGCCTGGGTTCAAACAGAGCTGGCAAGAAGTACGACAAGTACAAGAGCACATGGCCCGCAAGCGAGCAAACAGAGGAAGAGACCAGTGAACTGTCCGAGTGAGGGTACATTGCAAGAGCCACAATATTGGACACGTGCTCCTTCAAGGTCCCCATAATTAGGCTGTCACTGGTAGGTATAATGTGCGGCTGCATATACCGTGGTTTTCCTGTTCGGAAAATCCATGTAGCAGCACCGCAACAAATGCAGGCGGGGCCGCGGTGATGTCCCCATCAAACGACTATTGATCATTTCAAGTCCCGAATATTTGGCATTCGGTTCACAAAAATGCAAAGGGATTCAAGCCCTGAATCGGCTGGTGTTTGGTTCAGCAGCCCCTCAGGATTAGGGCGCAACGGCGTCGGTACTTCCTCCACACCCCGCGCCAAGGGTGAAAGGAAGCAAAAGGACTTCATTTAGATAGCGGGTGTTGGTTTGCTCGGTTCTCTGTTCCTCCCGCAACAACATGCAACGACATGATACTGCAGTCTCTAAACTACGTTTCTGTTGGCTCACAAGTACAGGGAGATTACAGAGGTGAGAGACGTGATTTGGGGGACGGTGGTCGTAGGTACTACGGACGGGCCATAGAGGGCGCGGGAATGAGGCCGGGACGCGAGTATTAGTGTTCAGGGCTGGGGGGGATGAACGACCGCCGATCACACCGGACTTAGGAGTGACCGTTTTACCTAAAGACCCCAATGCCTCTTTCTCTCTTCAACCAGAGAGGAAAGGGGACACCATGGGGCACCTAGGCGCGGGGCCAGGAACCTGGAGAGGAAGCAACGGAGGGTGGGTCAAGGCGCCTTTTGCTGGACAAGAGCATCTACGACCTCGCTTGTTCAGAGGGGCAGTGAGGGGGGTGAGGCGCCCCCGCTGTTCCCTGGGACGTGAATCGCCCTTCCACTCCTTTAAAGTTCAAAGATGTTCAAAGGAAACGCAAGGAGGCTGTAGACAGACTTTTCACCCAAGCTGAGTTTGTCCGGTGACAGCAGGCAACCCCTTAATCTTTGGCCATGCCTTCCTAACTTGGGGCATGCTCGCCAACATGACTGAAGCAGAGCCACCTTCGACGGCAGCTTAAGACGCGGGTGCTGTTGCTTGCGAGTTGCTCTCAACAGACAGGTTTGGCCTTTTTGATGACGCCACGGCTTGGTTTGTTCTATGGTGGTCTGGCCCACGACAACAGCATTATCAACACTCATCATCATGCAGTCAAACGTAGTTTGCATGGGCATTGCCACACTGATGTGGGTGGTGTTTGGTTTCTCTTTGGTCTTTGGCGACAACGATGAGTTCGGGCATTGATCTTTGCAACTTTGACGACGGTTTTCGGACGGGTCTGGGCATACTGTAGAAGCCCAAAAGTTGGAAACACAATGGCCTCAATCCTTAAGAGCAATGTACAGGGAATCCCAGCACGAATTGTCCTTCATCCGGTTTCCAACTTTTTGGGGCTTACTATAGAGCTAGGACACGATTGGACTTCCTGCAAGGCAGTGCATGTAAGATACCCTTGAAGAAGAGAACGCATGGCGATGCTTTTCAAGCTACGGACAGGAGCCATATCCTGCAAATGCCCTTCCTGAACAGATGCCTGGCCAAGGGATTGGCAGCAGACAGCTTCTCAGAACGCAGTACTAGCATATGCCCCGACCTTTGTCGAGTGCGAGTGCCAAAAATATGCCGCGACCTGATGACATGCTTTGTCCAATTCAACTCCTGCCCAGGCGCGGGACACAACCATGCCGAAAGTGGTAGTCCAGCCAAACCTTCAGGAGCACGCTATGCCGCTGTGCGTGATGATGCTACTGTGCATGCTTGCATTTTTCAGCTATGTGCAGGAATTATTGTCGCAACTTGACCACCTTCTGCCGCGAAGCCCGGCTGCACAAGTTGTTGCATGTAAACCCGCACAACAGCTCTTGGGATCCTCGCCTGACCTCGTCGAGCGCGAGTGCCAAAAAACGCGCACAATAGCGATAACCGAGTTCTTTCAATCATTGACAATCAATAAGACTCCAAGACGTCGAAGTGGGGTCTGCTTCACGAGTTTCCAGTAGCACCGCTGGCGTGGATCAGTGGCAAGAGCAGCACTGCCCCCACCACCACCACCACCGCCACCGCCACCGCCACCGCCACCACCACCACAACCAGCCACCAGCACAAATCAGGTGCTTGACGAAAGCAGGTTTCACTTTATCACGTGCTCTGCTGGGCAAACATCGGATCATGTTGGCGCCGACGCAAGCTTTTAAGGCCAGCAGGACGCCGTCGATATGTCTGCCTGGCAGCGCGTTTGAACGTTGCATTTCGTTCGCGGTTCACGACCTCTTAAAGCATCACAAGCTTGTGCGAGTGAGATCAAGTGAGCACTCGCCTGCTCCGGGTCTGCCACGAGCCAGCGAGGGTCCAGCCTTCATCGACTTACCGCAAAGTGACGGTTTTGGAATACGTGGAGGGTGGCCGAGGCCGAGCTGTGACAGAGCTGGTATGAAAGACTTATTCAATAGAATCCGTATGTCAGTGCCAGCCCCAACCTTGCAACTGGCCATGATGAGGCAAGTGGTTCAGCTGTTTATACATCCGGCTATTACAATTGCGGACAGTACCTGAGGCTGCTGGCAATGCATTGGCAGTGATATCGAAATGCTTTGACCGTTACCACGCCAGCTTTGCGTTCAACAGGGGCCTGCTGGCCTGAGTTCGCCGGCCAGCCTGTTTACAGCTGTAGCTGTCACCACGACGAATCTCAACGTCACGAGTTTGTTTACAACGCTTGACGAAAGCAATTGTGGTTGCAGTGCAATCGGAGGAGGCTTCACCCTGTACCGGCGGATACTTGTCAGCAGGCTTAAGCATACACGGGATTTTCCAGAACAGGAGCTGATGGCATGTTTCGTGCGGCCGTGGGGCCGGTGCTGCAGGCGACCAGGCTTTGCGCCTGGTGGGGCATCCAAGTGGTGCACAGCTACTTGAGTTTCGAACTTACACCGTTTAGCGAAGCATCGTCCGCGTCGAGCGAAACATCTTCTGGTGTTTGACAGGCTGAGCCCTGGCGAGGCCCGGACTCAGGCACAGCCATGCAACGCCGGAAAAAAATGACTGCTTGCACACCGAATACAGCCAGGGGCGACGCGAGGTACTAGTTGCAGTCGGTCCGATGCTTACATGGCCGCGCTTCTCCACAAGCCTCCATGCTCACTTCCTGAGTCCCCTACTCGCAGACGCAAACCTGGGACAGAACTTGAGGGCCAGAAGCCGGCTGGAGTGAAGATGAGCCGTGCAGAGCTGAGCTGTTGCACTGGTGGCACTCGCCTTTGCAGTCATCGTGTGGGCTTGGCTCTCATTGACCGTTTCATTTGTTTCTCTGACACACGACTTTGCTCCTTTTTCTTTGTGCCACATTGCGACACGACTAAAGTGACTTAGGTCCGAGTTGGACATGTGAGCCACTTAGATGTCAGCTACTACAAGTCAGCCATCTTCTGCGGAAGGGCGAGGCTTCGCCCTCCAAGCTTTGCCTAGGCTGTCATCTGCTGGCTTCCAGACCATGTCGCTTGGACAAAGAATCCTGCGATCAGACGTGGCCACCACCACACTCCTGGTGCCGCTCTCAGACCCAGCCAAGCAGTCCTTCGGTCTACAGTTGGTCCTCAGCCTCCAGCAACAGGCCCTTGCCGAGCAGATGCTTCCGACGTGATACTCGGGCAACGCAAAAAGCCATTGCTCACGCGACGACATGGCCCATGTCAGCGAAAGGAAAGCCTGCGTAGACAGATTGGGAGCCCTCAGCACAGTGCACTGCAACTTCGAAGTCTAAGTGTCAATTTGAGTCTCGATCTCAAGCTGAAGGTCCAAGCGCAGCCGCAGCAGCAGCAAACACATGCATCGTCTGTCCTTTCTGAATTGATACTACATTGCGCTCCAGATGCAAGAGGTTGCAACCCCGAGGCACAGTAGTAGCACGACAATTTGCTACCCTGAACCCGCTGTAGCCACAGGGTCACTTGGCTAAGGTTGTAGAGGCGACATGAACCCGAAGCAGGAAAGCGTGCCAGCGAGTTGCCTGAATGAAACCATCTGTCAGCATGTCGCGGCTCATCACCTGCATGGGCGGTGAGAGAACCGACGAATATGCAGTTGTCTTACACTGCATCAGTTGCGCAAGCGGATGATTGTCTGAAAAGGGGCGTATGATTCTCTCAGTTCATCAGTTTGTGAACTGTTTGTGAGATGTAACGTTTTGAGCCTCTGCAGGTCATCGAAGCATGTACAACATCTTGCTGATCCCGTGAAGAGCTCAGGGGTGCAAGCCATGAAAAACATGCAGTGGGGAAATTGGACTTCCAGAGTCGTATTACTCTTCGACGGGACAGGTTCCAACTTTCTGCACTGAAACAAGCGTTGCTGAGCCTTCAGACTCGGCAAAGGTCAACCCGCCAAATAAACGGCTCAAGGTCTGAGACCCGGTGCTGCTCTTCTCAGCAAAAGCTGTGCGGACTGTACTGTACTTTTCGGCTGCGTCAAGCAGTCGCTGATGCAGTCACTCGGGGACGGCAAACTGTCTGCATCTGTCTGCTACTTAGCCTTTGAGCTGCTTGGCGTCCAGGCCAAATCCGAGCACGGTGACCAGGACGTTGTGGAGTCCAAAGTGTTAGGCTTCTGACTTGGCTGAGTCTGTGAAGCAGTGCCATCCCAAGCTGACGAAGGCCGGCCTGCAAACCCTCTTCCGACAGTTTGCGGACGAGGTTAGCGCCATGCCACCATGAATACCCACATCGCACACTGGCTTTGCAGCTGCAGGTTTGACTTGGCATGGATGCTGGGGTCGAAGACTCAGATGTCGTGGCTGGGGCAATGCCTTCGACATGCAAAGCTGCGAGGATGCTCGTCTCCTGAGATTGGCATCTACGTCTTGGCAATTCAGGCTTCGCCCATAGAGCTCGATGGATTTAGTCCGTTTGGTCACCAGCGAGCCAAGTTAGCAGTCGCACACCTGCTCGTCGCAACCACATAGGTATAGGCACACCACAGAACACTACGGATACATGCGGACTCTTCTTGAGTTGCTGCCAGGGACGCACTGTGCGTGCCAAGCAGTATGTTTGGGCAAGTTCTACAGCGTGCCCGAACTCATCTCCCCAGAAGCATTTGCTCTACCGGCCAAACGGGGCGAAATGGACCAAACCTTAGCCATCAAGATGCAATGCAGTGTGCTCTGGCATAAACTCTTTAAGGTCGGACGCATCCACTTAGACAGCATCGGAGGAGATTGAGCTTGATGATGCTAAGACGGGTTGGCAGCGAATGCTGGCATTGCCGCTAGTAGGCCTTTAACGCCATCATGCGAGCGGACCATATGTTGGAGGAGCGAGCCCGGATCTATACAAGGCTGCAATGCAGGAAGTGCGCAGGACGCTGCAGGAGAATGTTGGCAGCAAGTCCTTTGCAGCGCATCGGTGAAAGAAGTTTGGCGAAGCCGGTTCCCGAGGATTCGTTGCCAGGTGGCAATCACGTGCTCGCCAGCTGCACATGGGCCCTCCGCTTATTGTGACTGTCCCGACATGACCGCCCAAGTGTGCTTGGTGTGTCGCGTCGGAAACCAGAAGTTCAAGCATGAGTCGAGGCTAAAGAGTGCCCAAAGCAAAGTGGGCACATGGTCGAAGTGGCCATAGTCACCACCAACTCTACGTGGCCCAGACTTGCTTTCAGGGTGCAGTGATACAGTCGAGGTGCCCATCAGAAACGCATGCTCTGACTGCTCGTTTCAGGAACCTGTCTCGAGGCTTTGGTGAGCTATCGAGCATGCTTTCAGCCATTGCGGGCTCACTGTGAGAGTAGATGGCGTACGGCCTCCTCTTTCAATTCCATGTGCCAGTGTCGATATCTGAGAACGTATCGAGTGGCATAGCGAGTGGATACCCGCACTTGCCATCTTACCGATGCTGGTCGGCACTGTTCATCTTAAGGTCGTGTATTGGCATATCTGCAGTCAACCTGACAATCCAAGGATTCCGCAAGCTCTAAAGCTATGTCTGCCGCCAGCAGAGAGCAGGAGAACTGACAATCTGCATTCCAGCTGTAGCTTGATATGTTAAGCACCATGCAGGAGAAGCCGACACTGGGTGAGGTCATCGATCAAATTGGACTAGGACCGGCGCAGATTCTCGGCAGGTTTGGCTGAATTGTATCTCACTCAATGCGGGCCTCAGACTAGGCGCGCCGGCGGATTCTAGATCCTAGAATCCGAAATTGTCAACGCTCCGTTTCCTGAGAGATTAAACTGTCCGCTTTTGGTCCCTCTACTGACACTGCTAGGGCTCGTGAAGCCTGGTGAAACCGGACTTAGCGGAATCTCCATAGTTTGGTCCACCAGTCTGCGAACTTGATGCTCGGTATCTTCGTGAGGTGAGATAGCAGTCTTGCCAACTTAGGGTGCGTGCAAGCCTCCTCGGTGGTGGAGTTTGGCTAGCAGACGGCGCCGAGCTGCTCCTGATTGGCAGTGTGCTTTGTCCTCGTTGGGACTCTGGAAGGACGGTAAGTTTTCGGGAATTGTTTGCTTTTTCTCAGGCAGCATAACACAACTGCCTGAGTCCAAGGTAGCAGACACCCTGGCCAGAAGTTGGCAGCTTTCGCGTTTTCTGAAGGGCTTTGTCGCCTCTCTGCCAGAGTCAGCTCGTGCGTGCTGTAAGACACGATGAGTAATGTGGCAATCGATTCCCCATGAGTTCTCGAACAGCAAGTTGGTTTCACTTCGAGGGGCCGCAAGCACTCGTAGTTTGGAAACCTTCACAACATTCGAGGATCTTTCCCTCGGTTACGGGCGACGGCATCTTTGTTTCCGGGGTTGCTAACTTGATGCCATGCTGCTTCGATTGAGCTACTTTCGGACATGCCGAGTTGTCTAAATGCCAGCAGAGATAGGGCGACAGAAATGGAAGGAATGAGTCTGGGAGTGTGAACTCAGCGCCGCGCGGGGGGCCAGGCCAAAAGTTTGCGTGGAAGGTCACAGGCAGTCCCGAGGTTCGATTTTGTTTGCCATCAGGCGGGAGCACAGGCAGGTAATTTGGAATCTGTGTATATCTGTGTGTGCGTGGTGGGGGGGGCTCAGCACAGGGCACCCGAGTCAGCACAGAGGACTTGGAAACCGGACATGCCTGGACACCGGTGGAAGCAGAGAGCAATGATAAGCAATGCCACGCCAAGCCAAGACTTTCAAGCAGGGTGCGCGGGAGGAAGGGACACGCGCGCCGACATAGCCTCAACCCACGTATCACACGCAACCGAAGCCGGCACGCGACCCCACTAGCACGGGCTGCGCTGTACAGCTCTTTTGGGTACATCCTCTGAGTGACTCGGCCTTGCGTATACGCACGTGAAGCTCGTCTTATCTCATCTCGCTCTCAGGTCACTGTGGTCTACACAGGGGTCATGGTCGGAAACATTTCCAGTGGACCTTTGGGCGCACACCTGGGTCGAAGGGAGTTGGTCATTGCTTCGTACACGGGACACTTGGCTCCGCAAAGAAGCGTGATTCATTGAGCCATTAAAGTGTTACACACTGCTACGTATCAAGCCGTGTGCCCAAAAACGAATACCTTCGACGGAAAGGAGCATCTTTCGCTTGCCTGAGGTATTTTCATTTTCAGCATTCTGTCTTCGACATCATCCGCAATAGCCGCGACTGTGCTGATGACAACTTGTGTGGCTGTGCAAGTCTAGCTTTGCTAGCAGCTCGAGGTACTTCTCATTTGGAGGTTCATCGTCGGCTGGAGCATCGGCATTGGGCAGCCAGCATGGATGGCGATTGCAGCTGAGATCACACCCTCTAACTGGAGAATCGTTACTGCAGGGTTCTCGCAGACAATGTTCGCATTCGGCGATCCTTGGCTCTGTGTACTGTGAAGAGGCCCGTACATCCTGCCGTGCGTGAAAGAATTTCTGACGCGTGAGCTGCTTGTTGACGGTTCGGATCTGCCTGGGCGAGCTTCCGACATGTTCAACTCAGGAGCTCTACGCTGCGTTCCTGCTGATGAACGATGACCCCAGTCTAAAACATTTGAACTGGCGCCGTGTCATCCAGCTCGGTGCCATCCCCTCCTTGATTTTGATGGCACTGGCCATCCCCTTCCTGAGGCTTGATGGCACTTTGGACAGGTTCCAGTTCCAGCTGTAACAATCCACACCTAGGCACAATCTGAGATAGATACTTGCAGTGCAAATTTCTTACTTCGAAAATGATTACTTCTGGGGCAGCTCAGGCAGCAATCGCCGACCTACCTGCAACTTAAAGGATGTTTGGCACTAAGCCTGACCGGGTCGGGCTCTGCAGCCGTGATATTTGGGAAGCCCTGTATGGTTTGAATGAAAATCAGGTCATGCCGAGGCGATCAAAGTTCTGGAGAGCATGCGCAGAGACAATCGAGCAAGCGACGTCTCAGTTGATTTCAGGCAGACCGTAGCGACTTAGTGTTTTGTTGTTTCACCTTGTGTGGTTTTGTGAGGCCTGAGAGAGATTGAAGGCCATTGTCAGGTCAAGCAAGAATAAGCCAAAGTTTTCTCCAGCAAAATGTCCAGGCTTCCGCCCAATCCGACGTCGAGTTCAACCGAAGGGATGCTGGACCTGTTGTACAAGCAGGGCAAGGCCAGGCAAGGCAGCGGTTCCTTGCATTTGGCTGTGTGGCGATCCTGTCCTGAAGACCATTTTGGGCGCAAAGCTGATCTTACCCACAATGGTCGTGTCGTGACTTGTCGTGATCTGGAAAGATACAGCTAATGTGTCCCGTGGAGCTGGCAAGCCAACTGTAGCCTCATCGGTTTGACAGTTGACAGACTTGTACAGTCTGGCCAAGCGGTGGCTGCTTCTGAGATTTACCTGCTTCGAGCTCAACCTGCTGTATTATGGATGTATCTATGCCTTTCCGCAAGTGCTTTCTGACTTAGTGGCAGAGAGCCTTGGCTGTGGGGCGTTGTGGGATCTAACGCAGGCTTGTCTGCGAGTCCTGGATGCGTCCGCAGTTTGTGCACTTCGTACGGACAGGCCAACGTTGCAGCATCACACTACCATGCACTGCTCGGTTGACCACTTGTCCAGACTTGGAGCTGAGCCGAGGGGCGCTGCACAACAGTTGCTCGTTGGGGCACTGTGGGAGCTTCCCGGAGTTGTCATTGGCATTTCCCTCGGGATCATGTACCTCAGGACTGTGAGTACATGATCCGGATGTGCTGGTAAGTTGCATGTGTGCTGCTCGCGACCCTCTGCTTCATGCTACTGTAATCGGAAATCGTGTCTTGCCGACTGCTGCTACAAGAGCACCACTGAAGCCACTCTTGTTTCTTTTGCTTCGACAGGAAGACAGGCATCAAGTTTTACCTGACCTTAGCCGCAAGTGTGACTCTGCTCTTCATCATCGGAGGGAACAATCGCAACAGACACTGGGCCTTTGACATCGCACTCTATGCGGGCTATTACGGAATCAAGCTCTCGCCGAACATTGGCTTCGTCTTGGTTTACCAGGTCGCAACGCAGAACCTAATATACAGCGACCTGCTGTTTTGTGTCAAGAGGGTGATTTTGCGTTATCTTTGCTTGTCAACTTATTCGTAGTCTCCGTATATGTCGACAATGCTGGCGCTCCTGGCCAGGTCGCCAACGAAATCTACCCTGCCGAGGTTCCGTTTGTTTGCCGTTTCTGTTGGCGAGTACCGCAAGTTAGATTAACTTGTCGTCCTTCCAGACGTGCCTGTTGGTGTGCTCACTCGCACAACAGTCCGCGCATTCACAACTACAGTCCCGTACTTTGCGCACCCTTCCCACTTAGTTCCCGCGCTCTCTTGTGATAGTAAATGACAAAAGTCTGTGACAGTGCCCAAGCTGATTAGCTCACCTCATTCCTGAGTCTGTCCTCGGCGTTTTTGGATGCTCCTACGCCGCAGCACTGAAGACTGGCAATGTGCTCCCAGTGTGCTGTAAGGCAATTCGGCTTAGTGAGAGAACCTCTTGCGCTCAAGTTGTTTTTAGTGATCTGTAAGCCTGAATGTTTTGTCCCGATATCTGATTGGAGTATGTTGGAGTAAGTTTTTTTGGAGTGGAAGGGAAAGCTCAAAGATACCAGCATACCAAGAGAAAGGGCCGCGGGCAAGTTGCAAGAATGGTCGCCACCACATCATGCATTTAGGTTAGCATCTCCTCATGAAGGCAAGGACTTTGGGCTGCGGGCTTTGCTTGGCCTGTGGGCGGCTGGCAGCCATGTTGGGCCCGTTGCTCTTCGAAGGGATTCTTGGATGTAGAATCTAGCAGCAATCTACCAGAAATTGGCAAAGCTAGGACAAGCAGCCGAATGTGTGCATGCATCCCATCTAAGGCTCTTCGAGCTTACTGGCACATGGCTCACGTTTTTTCTGATCATGGCCGGCTTTGCAGTCTTCAATCTGTACGTAGTCGATTTCATTCCGGAGACTGCGCCCCTTGGCTTGTTTTCAGGCAATATTTCAGTCTGCCAAGCTCAATGTCGAGATGCCGCGACCAAGGAACAAGATTCTGGACGATCATCGGAAGCCAAGCAAGTGAACGCATGCTTGTGCCAGTAGAAAGCATCCAGGACAAAGCGTTTCACCAGCTAGAGACGTACCCGTGACTGACAACACATGCAAGAACCAAAGCTGTAAAGTTCAAGGCGCGCATGCAGGTCTGTCACGAAGATTGCAACCGAAGCGGCTCTGGAACAAATCTTGTAGCATGCTAGCACATTGCACGGCAGGTGCCAGAAGCTGCAGCCAGCCGATGCCTTGCTGGTTCTCCAGTCTTTCTAATGTTTCCTCGTCTTCAGCTAGGCCCGTGCAACCCCACAACCCCAAGCCCGAGGCATGGCAAAACAAGCCGCTTTGTGGGGGCTTGGCTTCTGCCTAAGACGTTCGGAGCTTATTGACTGCACAGCATGAACTTCGCACATGCCCCAGATATCCGCGACATGGACATTCCTGAAGAACACCTCGTCGGCGCAACATGTCCTGCAAATGGCTCAAATGGCCTTTCCAGCTTGCTTGATCCAACCCGAAAGGTTGTTCTTTGCGCTCGAAGTATCTTGAAGCCAGGCGAAGCTCGAGCTGCAAGAAGCGAGGCCACTTACCATTTTGCAGCGGACTTGCATCGTCAGCTTCAGCTGCGGGCACAAGGCGGAAGACTGTGGCTTTGGAGCTACCCTCGAGGTGGTTCGATGGTCAAGTGCCCAGACAGGCTCGACTCGAAGAGAACTTAAGTCAGTACAGAGGATACCTTGACCTTGACTTATGCCGCAGGTCAACAACATCGGCCCTGAGCCTCTTGGACTTGACAGCGTGAGGGGCAGTGGCGCAGCGGTTCTACGGGGTTGCCTTCTCTTTCTGATTTGAGGTTCTGCTGGCACCAGTTCGCACTACTGTTTGGAAAGGCATGTCGCTGTAGTTTTGCATCGTGACCATTCCGTCGAACAAGTGAGCAGAATCGTGGCGGTGCTTCCGCTAGCAGGTTTCCACAATTGAGCTGGTCCGTCCAAATGCAAGTGTCCTGGTGCAGCTGCCTCTTGGAATGCAAGAAATTTGGGCAAGACTTCCGAGTGTTTGGACTGTCGGGCGGGAGGGCAAAAAAGTTCTCCGCAGGCTGGTGTCCTACAAGGTGCCCTTACTGTCCGCACAGCGAACCAGTAGCCACAACTTTTCGGGTGAGCACTGCATCACGAATTGCAGGACCCCGAGGGAGCAGCGGCACTCATGGAAGCCTTGACCGACCGCTACCTTCTCTACACCAAAAGTGGTGGCCCGAAGCCAAAAGCAATCTCTCCTTCGGCACAGCATCCGAGCAGCGAAGAGGGTGGGAAGTGAGAGGGAAGCAGAGTCTTGCATGCAGTTCCGGACGACTGCTACCCCGTCACCCTCACTCCGGGAGACGGCGTGGAGCCCGCAGCGCTTCCAGACACTCTCAAAAGTTATGATGAAGACCTGGCCAGGCTACTCCCTCAGAGAATATTACTGCTCTGCCAGTTCTTTCCCCAGTGCGATCGCCATTTTCGCCGCGCACATCATCCCTTTTCGAGCATCGTTGCCTCGAGGTGTTCCAAGCCTCCCTCCACGGGAGGCCCCTTTTTTTAGCACACTCGGCACGCTCACGTTTCGTCAGCGAGCAGCTTGCGCAACAGGAGGTGCGACCCGATCGACCTGCTGTTGGTGGCCACATTGCTGCGGCGCAGGAGCGATTTCGATCTTTGCAGCATAGCCTGCAAGATGCCATGCATGGTTTTTATGCGCGCCCACCAGGCTGAGCGCACCTCCCGCGCAGACACCCATGAAATCTCCGCCGAGGCAACCGGACCTCCTGCAGCGAGAAGCCTACCAGAACGGTTTTCTTCAAAGTCCATCTAAACGTAGGCCGCCGCCAAGGCATACGTTCTGCGGCGTTGTGGCAACGGCCCCGTGTTTGGAGCCTACTTGTTTGGAGAGCGGGTCCACATGGACTGGCAACCACCCAGTCGCAACTTACAGATCTTTGCTATGCACACTGGAAATGGCCATGAACTCCGGCAGCATGATTGATTGAGGCCGGATGCCCTTCGGGAGCCACCAGAAAGTTTCAGCATTTCCGCCCAGAAGCCACGACTTGTCTTCGGTTCATTTCTCAGAAGACGCAGACTTCTCGTTCCTGGCTCTTCGCAGCCCTGGCAGAAAGAGCGCCAATTTGCTCTTGAGGTCGCGAAGATACTTGTGATGTGTGGGGCCTACGTCCGCCGTATTCTGCTGTTTTCTGTAGTCATCGGATGCTTTCTGATGTCTGATGATAGCCTCACAGAGAAATTCCTTGAGGCAGTCCTGCGGCATCAGTATGTGTCAAAGGTGCCGGCGACTCAGCCACTTTGTTATCCGGAACGTGGCTTCACATGCTTGCCAATGAGATGCCGATCCTGCTGTCAGGCACGGTACTTTTGTCCTTCAGGACTCACCTGAGGCGCTGTGGCAAGTGGCTCCACAGAACAGATCTTGCATCGAAAAATCGAACGAGGTCAGCATGGGCCGAATGCTGCTACTCCTTGACTCTTCTTCAAACGGAGTTTGGGTCAACGGTGTGCGTATGGCGCGCGGTACTGAGATTCCACATCCGGACACAACTGCCACTTTCTCACAGTTGGCGCCAGGTTGAGTTGACTGAGTCACAAGTCTCTGTTGTGCTCAGGACGGGTCGCTTTCAACAACTCCATCCTGGGGACAGGCAGAGCATGCGTGGGCAAATCTTCTTGGCCCATCAGAGTTTTCGGACCAAGGATTTCCTTCCTGGCTCCCATCGCCAAGTTGGATGAAGACCCCGCAACCTGGGAGGCTCTCTGCGAGCATACGTGCCTGGTAGCGAAATCCAACAGCCAAAATACCTGGAGGTCTGCATCCTGGCTGTTGCCGCCTCCGCCGCTTCGCTGTACGATACTGTACGATACAGCCGAAGGAATCCAAGAACGTCGTTCTTCCTGCGTCCAGGACAAAGAAGAGCCAGGGCACCCGGCACCAGAACTACAACGGCAGCCTATACCCCAAGCTGCACCAGGGAGCCAGCAGGCGCATATGTTTTGCTCGGAGTTTCAACCGATTCCACGGAATGCAAACAGCAGTGACAGGGGTGGCCGAAGCACTTCGGGAACTGCACAAAAGTTCAGAATAGTGCGTTTCAGGGCCGGCTTCTTGTTTATAATGAAGGAGATTTGTGACGTAAGGCATGACGAGTTGGTTCTGATAATTTTGGGGCTTCCGTCCCGGAAACCGGCAGTCAATTCCGAAACTGCACCCTTGGGGCTGTGATCAAGTGTAGCAGTGTAGCATCTGTTCCTGTCGCTGGGACAACAATTCATGGGCGAGGTGATGTTCAATGCTGATTGGCCCCTTCATATGGCCAGCATGAACGAGCTCTTGTCGTTACTGTTTCTGGGGTGCGGACTCCTTCCGAAACGTGTATATAGACATCTATCCTCCACGGGTGTGGAAGTACACCTTCTTGTCACCGTTGTTTCTGTCACTCTGCTGGACTCGAGAGGTGCGACCAGTGCAAGTGGTCCAAGCGGTGCAGAGCGCACCGCCGGCTGCGACTGCCGCGACTCCTCAGGCCCAACCGCAGCGAGCAAAGCCGGCGCCAGCGCAGCCAGAAAAGCCAGGCGCGACAACAGGGCATGCAGTTCATGACATCGCTCATTGCAGAGCATTCAGTCTGCTGGGGTGGTTGGTACTGCAGGCTGGTTTCAATGATTTTTGAGCTTTCCTGTTGATTAGGCGTCCTCAAGTCACAGGATCTTCCTTCGACAGACTTCTGAGAAGTCCTCCTCGCCTCAGCAGAAGATGTGGTAATAGAGCAGATGCAAGATGCGAGATACAGAGCGACGGCAAGAGCATGGCAAAAATCTCATCAGAAGCAGTTCATGCGCGGTGAAAGCAACATCTGCCGTGGATGCGCGAGACAAGACTGAAGACTGTGGTTCGTAAGAGGGTGTTCGGAGTTGCAGAGCTCGGTACGGGCTCCAAAGTGATTGAATTTCATCCGAAAATAAACCTTTCCCGCGGCTGCATACTCGCAATCCTGCAACTTCCTACAACATCGATAAACCCCCTACAACCGGCGTCTCAGTGAGCGCAAACACTGAAGGTTTGTTTCGCAGCAGAGTCTGCCAAGACCATGATGACAAGCAAGCGTTCATGGCACAGATGGTTCGCAAAGCCACATGCTGCACGGCGCAGCCTTTGTGACTTCAAAGCTTCTATGTACTATAGACTGCCAGGCAGATCGGCGACTGCAGCGCAGCCCGAGGCGCAGAAGCAAGCGCAGTTCGCAAGCGCGCAGCCCCGAGAGGCTAGATCCCCTGCAGTGCCTGCCGTTGTGCAGGGCACACAGCCTGAGCAAGTGCGTGTGAAACAGGCGCAGCCAGAGCGACAAGAGCACCAGCAGCCGCCCGTTCAAAGCACTGCAAGCCCGGGCCAGAAACAAGCATCAGGTGACGACGCTCTGCAACAACGGCCGCGGCAAAAGCGTGCAAAGACCGCAGCCAAGGCGTCTGCTCTAAAAGCAGCGGACGAGGGATCAAAGCGGGAGGCACCGGAGGCACCGGACAAGACAGCTCGGCCTGCCAAAATCCTGGCAGCAAAGACGATGCCCCGACCAAGTGATGCAAAGCAAGGTCCAGACAACGAAGACTCGGCCGAAGCAATGGCAGCAGGCTATGCTGCTTTGGCAGCTGCATATTTCGCAGCACAGGAGGAAGAGGAGGCTGAGGCACGAAGACGCATGTCTTGCAAGCATGGAAGTAGCTAGGTAGTTCTCGGAGATTTGATCGCGCTGTAGACAGGTGCAGCGACGTTCTGAACAGCCAGCCATCGAATCAACAGCTTCCAAAGAAGAAGCGCCACCATGCAAACTCTCAGAGGGGACGGAGGCATTGATACCCCCGTCGTCTCAAACATACCCACCACATTCCTCTGCTACACCGCCACCACCAGCACCGCCTCCACCGAAGACCTCGGCTACGGCTACAGCAACCGCAAAAGCGCCTGGCTCCCTACCATTCCGGAGTCCTCCACCTTTGCTCGCCATGACCACTTCCGACTCAGTGCCAGTTTCAAAGACAGCTCCAGCAATCGAAGGCGAGCCAATTGCACAGGCGATTCCATCTCAGCTGGGCTCGGCAGCACCGGTCACACCACCGAAGGCACCCGCAGTTGTATCAGAACGCGCTCCCTGGAGAGCTGGGTGATCTCGATGCATTTGTGGGGACCGCTTGCAATCGCAGAAACAGTGGTCAGTGGAGGACGAGCTTTAACCGAGGCCTCTACTGTTGCCACCTCCACCTACGCGAGTTCCGTCCTTACGGCAGGCCGCTGTCGGTTTATCTTCATAGGCAGTTTGCAGCAACTCCGACTTAGACTTCGACTCGACCTCCGACAAAATCCGTAAGCTGCGAAGGAGTTATATACGTCCCTGATCAATCTGGACACGGAGCTTGGCGCCTCCATTGCAAGAGAGACAAACCGTCGACTGCCCGCGACAATGCGCGGATCCGTTGAACTCAGATCTCGTTAGCCTGTGTTGACCCTACAGCTCCGGCTCCACCGGCTTTCTTTGATGCCGTGGGCGAGACACGAGGTGCTGAAGTAATGAATCTTCGGCCAAAAAGCTGCCATCGACTCAGTCTTGTGCTTATCTAATATTTGTGCGGCCAAGATCGTATTTCTTTGTCGCCTGTCGGTCTCTCCGTCTCTCTCCTCTCTTTCTCTCCTCTTTCTCTGTCACTATTTTTGCGTGCCTGCTTTGTGCGTGTTTCTGAATTCGGCGAAGAAGGTGCTGCAACACCATCGCAAGCACCTGTCACAGCAAATGCCCAGGACCAGACTGCCTCTCCTGGAGAGTCTGAGTGTGAGCGCAGAATTTGACGTTGAATTCTGTTGAAGTAAGCTGCACTGCCGCGTCGCGTCGCGTCGCTTGCACTAGCTGTTCACGCCAGGATCCGAACGATCTTGCAAGCTGGACTGTGGCATGGGGCCTGGGCAAATATCAGGTGGAACGCTTTGGAAGCACAAGAGCGCATGTTTGTGCGCACAGCAATCTGGGGCTTCAGCTTCAAACAGGCTAGACTGATCAACAACTACGATGATGTGGAGCAGATCTGCAGTGAGCATCCTACGATAAGCACCAAGGGCAGGTGGCTCTTGTGCTTCTGTTGCCTGAGATGAGTTGCTCAAATGAGGTCTGTAACCAGATAGTCGATCCCTGCCGTCAGCACAGCTTCATGTACGGACACCTTGTACGGCGAGGTCTCCACCAGAACAGTTTGCAGACGTTTTTCATCGACAACCAGATTGACAGCAAGGCTGGCACAGCATGCTCAGCAGCTGCCACACAGATGGATAGCACGAGCATGGTCGCTCAGGAGGACCAGCAGCTTTTCGAGACAGCCATTTTGACTTGGAGCCAATTGCACAGAGCAACGAGTCAGTGCCCGTGACCGGCAAAGAAGCGGGTTGGGAAGGTCTTGCCAATCAGCCTCGGTTTGGCCGAGCTTGAGCCTCACGGGGCATCTGTGGTGCAGGCATGTTGGCCATGCTCGCGGTGGTGACCACTTAAGGTACTTGAGCATTGCCTGCTGGCCCTTTCTATTTTTGTTTCGCTCTGACGTTCCATGGGTGAGTGCGGATATAGCTAGACATCGTCTAATGTAGTTAAAGCTGCACAACGAATGAACTGGGTTGGGATAGATCAGAGCCCAGCACCTGTTGCTTATAAACAAGAATGGCCAGTGAGGACGCTTGTCCGTAAGTTGGCTCAACAGCATATGGATCGCAGACCGAGAAGCAAGTCGGCAGCGTCCAGTCGCCCAAAGATTCAACGTAATTGCAGCGCAAGGTAGTGTACAACAGGCAATGTCTGATAGCTGAATTTGTCAGAGCATGGCCAGCTCGTGGGGACATCACGCGGCTGGGTGCGCAGGTGCGCTTGCACACACCTCAGTCAGGGACTCGTGGCCGAATCTCCATGACTGCCAAGAGTACAACTAGACAAGAAGAAGCTAAGGCACGCTCGCGCACATACCAAGACTCTCCGATGCCGGCAGGAAGGAAGCACTTCCAGAACAGAACCCCAGCGCACCTTTGGGCCTGCAAGAGAAGTCCTTACATCCGGAGTGCAGCGGTCCCTGCCGTCGTCGGAGCTGTTGTCAAGGCAGGGTTTTTTTGCCGAGCGAGATGCCAGCAGGTTGCCTTGCTGGCACTGTCTTGGCGTTTTTTCGGATTACTTCCCCGTACAACTTCCGAAAGAGCTTTAAGCTGAACGAACCCTACAGTTTGCCCACGATTCTTTCCGATTCCTTTGTCAGGCAGCATGGAGATCTCGCTTCTCGGGAAGAGGCCTCCGTGACTGGTGCAGCTCACGTGCCAGGGTCAACAAGACCAGAAGTGGCTTTTGGTTCAGACGACAGCCTTCACGCGAAGACGGAGATCAGGAGGCAAGCGCTTTACAAAACAGTTTTTGCCGAATGCTGCACGACAAAACATAAACATGCTTGCAGTTGGCGATAGCTGGCGAGAAAGGTCGGGCCGGACGGACTCCAGCACGTCAATCCACAGTGCGTGCGCATCTGGAACCGCACGGATACTCGACTAGTGGTGGTTGCATTTACCCGAGCATCTCGGCTGCAAGGTTCTGGCACTCTTTGGCGACGCAAGACGACATCATGCTCGGAAGATCGGAAGTATTACGAAGCTCAGGAAAACATGATCTATGCACTTGGCGGGGAAACAGTTGTGCTGGAACCCAGCAGCCATGTCGACATCGTATCGAGGAGCATGCGCAGCAAAATCGCTATTCGCAGAAAGGACGCGGCACACATGATTGTGCTCCGGCGAGGTTCAAGTCTGACGCTGCAACCCGTGCAGGCAAGAACGGAGACGTACAGCCATCTTGAGGTGCAGATTGCTGATGTTTCCGCGACATGGGAAGCTGGGTCATCATGGGAAATCTTGGCAGGCCCTCTATTTTGGCGTTTGCCCAGGAACATTGAGGATGTTGAGTTCCAGGTTTTTTCGGTGCTGCAATCGGAGGGCCGCGTGAGTTTCAAGGTTGTGCGCAAGGAGGGCAGGGACTGGCGCGGGCATCCGCTTGCCCGCATGCGAGTTATCCGCGCAGGGTTCCTTGGCAAGGCTTAGTATTCGGATGTTTCCCGGGTTAACCTGCAGTTTAGGGCTTGGACTTGTTCAGGTTTCTTGGGACGAAGTTCTTGCACAAGGGCACAATGTACATGGGCAAGATTGTGAGCGCAAAAGCTGCAGTGGAGATCTGCCAAGCCCACCAGCGAATTTCTGGAGCTTTCGGACCACCCGAAACAATCGTACGCTTCGAAGGGAGCCTGAAAACTGACACTGGAGCACACTTGGTGCTGTTTGAAGACTTCGGGGAAAGTCTTTCAAGAATGTTGGGCAGCTCCCTCGGCTTGGTCGTTGTGATAGTAGAAACATGTAGAAACCATTCTTGGGTTTGTATTGTAGTGTGATTGCAGTTTCTAAGGCAAGAACTCCGATTTCCTTGATGCCAATGATGTTGACCAATGCAGCTTGGCGATGATTGAGGCTGTCGAAGGCGCTCAGCATCCTCAGCGGAAAGGTTGCAATGCTTTGCTTCCCTCATCTTTCCTCCTTGCCTCAGGTGCGCAGGATTTGCTGGCAGCGATTTCGGCCTTGCATGCACAGGGCCTACACCACCTGGCCCTCTCACCCGAAAGCGTGTGGCTACGACGTGACGGTGGGTCTGTTTTCGAAAACAATTCATCAGCTCTACCGTGTAAGTGCTAGCTGACTTTGAACGAACTCACGTTTTTTGGCACACGTATTGTGCGCCTCGTAGTCACCTGGGTGCTGACGCTGCCATGTTGTGTGTCAGGAATGGGGCGCATGCGGCTGAAGCTGCTCGGTCAGGAAATGTCAGGAGCGGCAGTCGTTTCTTATTACAACATGTATCTGCCTACTCTGTGGGATTACTCAGACCAGACCCCGTTCAGTCTGCTGTGGCGCTGTACCCAGGCTGGCAGACTTGGGGGTATGTGAGCGGCCATCCAACCCGTGGCCGAAAGGCAGATCTCGCCAACTGGGTGGCATGATGGCACTTATGAACGAAAGCCTTTTCTATCCGTTTCTCTCTGCGGTGTTCAAGGCTGGCGCACCTACATGGCTCCGGACTCCTGCATGCAGTATGGACGTCAGTCAGCCCCATGTGCGGGAGCAGTGATGATCACACATTCAGTAGCAGGGCTTCTGGCAGACACGGGCACCCGAGGAGCTACAAGAGTCACGGTCCACGGCGGAGGCACTTGTGGCTCGCACACTGGCCAAACGTGCCCTAGCACCATTTACCAGTAACGTGCTCGTTTGCCGTACTTTGTCGGACACTTGCCTGCCCCTCGACTGATATTGATGGATACCGATGGCATTGTGCTTGTCGGTCCAGTTTTTCACCCGGCAAAGCAGGCTGCTTTCCGCACTTTCTTTCGGGCCAGACCGCAGGAGAAGCCCGGGCAGGCAAGTCCAATTTGAGGAGAGGTCACGGGCCACGGGAGTTGGCGGCCCGCGGTTTTGCAGAAACAGCTCGGCAATGCTCTGCTTGTGGCACTTGGGCTCGTCCACGGCTTCACAATGCAGCTGAGATGGAAAATCCTGCGAAGATGTTTTCTGCGAAGCACATGAACGCCATGCTGCAGGAATGTCGGCGGAAAGGAATGCCAGCCCAGCCAGAAACTTCAACTGACATCCGCCAGCTCCGGCCACACGATGTGGCATGAAAATCACGTGTTGCCCAGTGCAAACAAAGGCTGAATCGGGAGGGCCAGGGGCGGCCAGCGCGTTTTCGGGGCAGACTTGTCGGAGGTCAATTGTGTCATGGTGGGACGTCACGCGGCCCGGAGCTGACGTCGCTTGCGTTTGTTCTGAGGGATCACTTCCCAGGTGCCAGTGGGCAGAGTACTGGGTACAGCTCAGCTTCGCCAAACACAGACCCAGCCATTGTATCGCATAGGTACGAAGCCGAAGGCCTCGAAGATTGCCGACAGCCAGGCTGAACGTGTCGACTGGACCGCTGTGTGTCGCAGTTTGCAGACCAAATCATTGGTGTGCAGTGCGCAGCAGGTACTCGGGCCGCTGAAAGCCTTGGACATTCTGCCGAGCCTGCGAAAGGATGGCCAGACTGGGGCACGGCAAGGTGTTGCCCGGGAAGAGCTTATGGCTTTGCTGGGCGAGTGCCTTGACCTTGACCACAGCCATTGCTTTGCAGCAACTTTCGGCTTCCTGGATCCCGCTTGCCAGGTTCCCCATCTTCGCAGAGCTTGAAAGCTCAGATCTGCGCCGACTTGCACGTGAATTTCAGGGACCTTTCTTTGTCCCTCCAGGATCTTCCTTGTTCGATGTGGGGGAGATCGGAGACTTTCTTTATTTCGTTCTTGCCGGTGAAGTCGTTTCCCGGAGAGGGAAGAAAGAACTTCGGAGATACCGCCGTGGTGGCTTCATCGGAGAAACGGCTCTACTTGGACCCGCACCCACGCGCAGAATTTTTTCGGCATCGGCAGCGCGTGGCGGAGCAGGCTGTGCCGTTCTCCGACCCTCGGACTTTGAATATGTAATTGAGTCAAGTGAATTCCGATGATCTCAGCATATCTCGGCTTCTCCATGTTAAGAGGAGGGCAACCCTATCGAGAAAATGGCCTCAGCACGTCGGATCCCGGTAGGCCTCTCACGAGGCCTCAGGCCACTGTGCCGGACTGATTTCGCAACACCCGGAGCGGGAGAAGATTCCTGCGCTGTGACTTTTTGAGGCTTTCCTGTGTTTGACTTGTGGCTTCACTGTCGAGTACTGTAGCTTCAATCCAGCAACAGCTACGGACAACATATTGATAGAGAGCAGAAGTTGAATGTGGTTCGAAAATCTAGTTACTTGATGTTACTGGTAGATACGTAAATCGACATGATGCCCGCAAACTGCTCCGAGCAGGAATGCACCACACGTTCTTCAGGAAGGACTTGAAAACTGGAGGGCCTTTGAACAGCATCGTCGGCCCGACCCGATGGAGGTCGCATCCTCACATCGGTATTGAACGCATTTCCAGTTGCAAGCACCTGTTTGTGGAGGTACCTTGAGAAGCCAGAAGAGTCAGTTGAGCCAGCCGACGCTGACGTCTTTGCTGCCGGCTTGCTTTGGTGTCAAATGGCAAGCTCTCGAGTTTTATCCATGTACAGGCCGACACTGGCTGTTGCCCCAAAGATGTGCTTTTGCTGGTATACCTCTGTGTTTGCGAATGGCTGTGGGCTTGGATAAGCGGAGAATGCCAAACGTCACTCGAAAAGTGAAAAAGTGGTATTGGATAAATGTTTCCGGAAAGGCGAAGCGTCAAGAAGAACTGCGAAAAGTGCAGCAAGAACGAAACGTCCAAAATCGCAAAAAGCAAAAACCGAAACACAGCGAATGGCGAACTTTCAAGAAGGCGAAACATGGAAGACGGTTGGGTTCTCGCTTGGCCCGGAAACCCAGCCCCACCGTAGCCTGTAGGTCCTACCCTAGCTTGATAGTAGGCTAGGTCAGAGCTTTGTATGAAGACTGGATAAGATCGAAAAGCGCAGCAGAATACGAGTACTCGAGAAGTCGAAGACCTCGCTAAGTACTAGAGCGCTCAAAAAGCGCAGGAAAACGCGAAAAGCCGAAAAACACTGAAAGCAGCGACAAGTTGGAAAAAGCACAGAACAAAGCGACAAGACGACAAGGCGAAGAACACGACAAGTGCCGAAATGTTCGAAAAGCGTAGAACACCTATAAAACTCAGACAAACCCACAATGTACAGAAAAGCTGCAACAGCGCGAAAAGTTAGAAAGGCATCGTTGAGTCTTTTCGACTTTTCGGGATTTGACTCGGTTCCCCGCTTATCGATGCCTGCTTGCGTACTTAGTACGAAACCTGTCGCATTGTTGAAACGCAGGCTCAAAAGGGCAAGAACCGTCGAAGCACTCCTGGATGCAGTGGCAGCACGCGAGATCGGGAGCTTCTATTTTCTGCTGCAGGAAAGTTGCCACACGTTGTTTTCATGTGGTTTCCCCCCTGACAGTTGTAGGCTTTGGCCTAGTCTGCGCTGAACAAGTGATGCAGACGGTGAGGACTGGCGCAATGTCGCGCTCATTCAGCTCATAGTCCGGCGAGCTCCTGCATACGAGGTCCCCATTCCCATTGAAAGACTTCGTCATGTTTCTGTTAGGTGCCACAAGCCCGGCTTTCTGCCTCGTTTGCAGGCACTGATCTGCCTGGAAGAGCGGGAGAAAATTGCTTCCGAGAGCCGGAGCGAAGACGAGCCCGAGCCGACTCCTCGCTTGAATTCAGTGCTGCTTGCACCATCTTGCACCTGCAGTCTGATGCAGTCTCAACAGGACGTAACACGTCCAGGTGTCAAGCTGAGTCTCTCAAGCCATTCAAGCCTTTTCGTGGTGAGGCACAACATGTTCGGTTTTGTGGGCAAGTCCTTCAGCGACTTTCAACAAAGTGCGCGCTCGGTTTTCGAGCTCACACAAGATTCGGTGGCTGCTTCTGGCGCCGTCCAAATGTCAAACCGAGCCAGGGCAACTGTGTTGGATCAGTGGGAGAAGCTGACAAATGTCGCCACAGAGAGAGACTCGATCGAAAGGCTTGCCTGGACGAATACAAACCGGCCTAGAACTATGCCGTGTGATCGGCTTGAATGCACGCTTTGCATGCACGGCTGCTAAGGAGCCGGCCAAGTTGCCGGGGAATTGTTTGGCGAGCTGTATGGAAACCTTTTCGCAAAGGATCTTCTCTGGATGTTCCGCAACCCAACTCGGACGCAGCGCTTCCCAGTGCTGCTGGTGCGCGATGCCGAAGATGGGAATCTGCTGGCTCGCTGGCGCATTGGGGCGTCCATGGTCTTTGAAAGCGAGCTTTGTGCCAGGACACTGCCGCGAGTGCTGCCTTCTGTTCGTCCAGCTCTGTCGGCAGGGTTTCAGATCGGCTCTGCAGTCGGCCGCAAGTTGTCTGCATTTCAACTACTGGTAGTATACACGTGGCTATCTTTCCTGTCCCGGGCTTCTGTATGTCATGCCCGTGCATCTTCTTAGGCTTAGGCCGGCTTAGGCCTTAGGCTGGCCAATATGATGGCATAAGCGGTTTGATCCGACGTGGCGAGGCAACAGAGCCATCAACTTCAAACGGCTTTGGATTGACGCTTTCTGTGGCTCTTTTCTAAAGCAGCTGATTGCAATGGGACGACTCAGAATGAAACGTGTCCTAAGCGTTCGTGTTCGATGGGACCGGCTTGGCAGCGTTCTGAAGGAGTCCGTGGTGAAAGGCCAAACTGCGAGAAACCTGGTGCTCACTAGATTCGGCCGATTGCCCACGAAGTACGATCAGAACGACCCGAAGGTCCTCCAACTTTTGCCATCCAAGTGGGTACCTGATATTGGCCTGCCGCTTGCCAGCGGCATTGGTCGTGGCTTCATGACTCGGTGGTGGCAGGGCTTTCGCAGCGGGCTGCGGCGAAAGTACGTGAGGCCAGACATTTCTGTCTTGGTACACAGGGAAACACGAGTTGTAATCATGCCAGCCGCCCAGCCCTTCGCTTCAGGCCGAGGTTTGAGACCTGGGACTTGGAAGACGTGCCGCAAGTGATTCTGGATTTCGCGAGGCAGCAAGGTGCAGAGCAGGCGCGGCAAGACACATAAGCCCGCAGAAGCCCCTGAGCATCCCTAAGCATGTATGTGGACATGGTCCCTGAGGCAGCACTAGTGGCATCTTCAGTTGGAGACACGATGGCACGGGACTTGGGCTACTGGTCAGGAACGTTTACCGGCATTCTCTCTGGCCTGGCCATGTGCAGCTTGTCCACATATCCTACACGTAAGGCTAGGTCCCAAGCGGTCTTGCAAAAAGGATCCCGAAAGAAGTCGAATTCTTGAACTCGCTTGTTTGCGGCAAGGCGTCTTGGGCCAGTCCAAGTCCTTGGGTGATGACAGCGACTTGGTTGTGGCCGATGGGTATTTGGAAAGCGACCGCGAGCTCATTGCACTGGAGCAGTATATGCGAGATTCGGGAAAGAGAGAGAAAACGACATGAAGATCGGGAGCTGAAGGAGCATCCCGTGTGAGGAACGCATCCACTCCTTGGAGATTGAAGTCGGCCCGTGGCAACTTTGGTGAATGAGCAGATGCCAGCTTCAAACCGGCGGATACTGGATGGTGCAGGTAGTACGCAGTCTTCCAGCATTTGCCGGTCTTGCGCCGCTCGTCCCGTAACTCCCTCGGACAGTCGCTGGGAAGACTTGATGAAGCATATGATGATTGAAGCTTCAAACTGGCATTCTGGTTTATGTCTGCCCTGAGGCGACATGCATCCAGACGAATGCTCCATGCAGCTCACCTCGAAGATCCTCGAAGTGGTTGCCAGACGATGCGAAAAGATTACCTGCAGGCATGGCACGGAAGCCATTCCGAGAAGGCGTACATTGGAAACGGACCTCCCGCACAAGCTATTCCGAGAAGGGACGGTAAACTGGAAACAGACTTCCCGTGTTGATGGTTGAAACACGCACCTTTACTGCACAGTGTTACGCCCGGGTCAACACTTAGAAACGGCCTTAAGCAGTGCTTGCTTCTGCATTCAGGCCTCGCGCATTCAGACCAATGCACAGACAGCAAAGCGCTTCTGTGAAAACAGGCGCGACGCAGATTGCCGGCCGAGCGAAGCAAATGATACAGATGACACAGCAGATGCTGAGCAGTCCCGGCTGGCACCAGCGTATCAGGCCATCAAACTCTCAGCAGTTTCATGTCATGCATAGCAATTTCCACCGAAAGACTGCTTGTCGTATCACACGAATGAAGAAGCACTTGAAGCAGAGGCACTCCAGCCTTCAACGATAAACCCATGATATCCAACAATACTGACTTGGCATGACAATATTCAGCATGTGAGCCAGCAGTCAGGGGTCATGGATGCCGACGCCGTCCAGGTGCATCTTCTTCTGCCAAATCCATGTCAAGGTATGTGAAAGAGGCACCCAGAATCGGTGGATCACACTCTTGGTTCAAAAGACAGGCAGCCGAAGGATCGTACTATGCACTATGAAATCAGAGCGATATCTCGATGATGCACGCCTGCGCTTCAGTGCAAACATGGGAAAGAGCTGACAGAACTGGCGAGCTGAAACTACGCCCAGGTATTGTGGTAAAACCGGTGTTGCTGGTTAGTGGGCTTACTCAGCTATAGTAGGGCGGCAGTGCATCCTACCCTCGCTGATCTGTGCTGCATGTACATGACAACAGGTCCCAACTCAAACAAATCCTCGCCAAGTTGTGATACAAGAGATAGTGTAGCGATGGGGTTTCTGCGAACCTAGGCGAAAGATTCTTGAAACACGAACCCTGGCTGCTTGAGTTTTAGGGGCTTCAAGGGTCGAAGGGCTCAATTGACAACAGCGATTGTGCAAAAGCTCTGCGACAACTCAGACCCGTTCTTTCCACTAGTGGCCCAAATAAGGAGTACTAAGCACACTACCGTGACTTCCGTAGAACTGGATATAATATGCGGATCGAACTAACGGAAGATTCCCTTTGCATGGGGCAGCGTCGGAGCTTGTTGCTTATGCGGTGGTTGGGCTCGCGTCTGGTAGGACTCCAAGCCGCGAGATGTGACTGAAGTGCCGGACGTGGAGATTGCAGATGAGATAAGACATGCAGCCTGCCTTGCTGACAATCGCTGCATCGCTGGTCATGATCTGTTGCATGCCTTGTTTTCCTCCTGCTAATTAGGCACTTCTCAGACCTTGTGGAAGCAAGTTCGGGGCGATGCAGCACTACTGTGCAAACTTGCAGAATGACGTGTGCTGCCCGCATCCGGCGCGTCTTGCGCGTCGTTGACGTGGCTCAGTCTGGGCTTCGTTCTTGGACCTCTTGGTTTGAACAATGCTTCCTTTTTCCGAGTTTTTGTTTAGTTTTGTCCGTCTCGCAGAGTATAACCTTTCCGTGGACCGAAAAGCCAGTTTAGCGAAGAGGGAGCATTTTAATGCGACGTTACGCAGGCTCCTGCTAGAGAAGGCTTGCTGCTTGGAAATGGTTTCTGTGAAAGAAAATTGATGTTGTAAGAGTTCTGATTCCTGAGTTAAACCAATGGGCGTGGCTTAGTATTTCGCTTGGCACCGTGATCTAAACTAGCTAGTCGTGCATTTGCCGCTTCCTTGGGCTCGTGGCTTGCCTTCGTGAGGTTGTGCTCTGGCTTTGGAAGTTTTACAGTCTTCTGGTGTGTGGTTGCGTTGGTCCTAACATGGGCCTCTGCTTGTGCTTTGCCTGGTTCGGAGCACTTGCACACAAAAGTTTGCCGAAGGTTTTCTGTCAGAGAGAGTTGTCTGTGGTTTCTGCTAGAGAGTTTTTCCTGCTGAAGAATCAATAGCTAACTAGTTCCGCTTTGTTCTCGCCAAAGGTATCAAGGCAGTCTCTCAGCTTGCGTCGCTCGATTGCCTCCTAGGAGTCCCCCGCATCCCAACGGGCTCCTGCGTCCCCCACATCCTGTGAATCCTGGGCGCGTTTCCCGCTGCAGGCAGCAAGTAGGCTAACGTCATCTAACGACGCCAAACTCGCCCTTGCACCCTAGCTGACTTGGTATGCTACAGCTCACGCAAGACACTCTTTGCAACTAATGATCGAGCGTGCGAGGTAAAGCTGCCGGTCGGCTGGGAAGGCTGGGTTCGCTTTGGGCAGTTGCTGGCGCCCACTATCGCCCGCTGCAGCGTCGCGTAGGGCGTCCGGTGCGCTTGTGCCACATTCGGACGAGCATGTACACTTCCTGATCACAGCGGAAAGCCATTCAGTGTTTGTGGCATGTTTGAGATCCAGGCCTTTCTCTGAAGCTACATGCCGGCAAGCTTCTCGTCTCTGAGGTCCCGAAGGCCAGTCAGTGTGCCCAAAGGTGTACACGTGAAGTGTGTGAGACCGCTCCGGAGGCCTGTTTCTCGTCTAAGTCCTTCGAGAGCGGGGCAAAACCCCAGGCCAGGATCCTGTTTGCAATGCAAAATCTAGTAGTAGAGGAGGTAACCTTTAACCTTATTGGGGTATTCAAATCCCTGTAAAATCCCCATGTTTAGCCTTTAGTTCCCCATCATATTGGACAAGTAGGAGATCAGTACAGCATTCACCTTTTGACAAAGTTGCACTGCGACGGATGCGAAGTATCGGCTCCAAGTGCCTTCAGTCTTTTTGGCTAGGATCTCCGGAAGCCATGTCCTGTTCCAGAGCAGCGCTAGATTTCGCCTGGCTTCAATTGGTTTCACTGTCGGTCTTGAGCGGGATCGAAAGTTTGGAGATCTACGATCGCACCTGGGAGCAGATCTGGCATGCGCTGTTGGTTATGCACAGTTGGATTGACAGCAGTGAGGCTGCGCAGCTGCTGCCGTTGAGTGATTTTTTGACGAGCTTTCATTGCGATAGTATGGATCCAGTGGGGAGCGCTGTACTTCCGAGGAGATTTCGGTGCTCCTCTGTTCCAAGGTGCAATTGGCCATCATTCTCCCGGCTCCAGTCCCGGGTGTTGTCTCTCCTGAGTTGGGCGTAACAGCCGCTCTCAACCGCATCCTGGCTTCGGCTGGCGAGGACCGGGGATTGCTTGAAGGGTCGGAGTCGTGTTACTTCGAGCGCCTTGGTTAGCTCCTCGGCTCAATGGCCTCGGCGGCCAGCTTTTGGGAAGTCCTTGGGATCCGCGGAAATCCGGATATCACGCCAGCATGCTTCACGCGTTAAGGCTCAATGTGGTATCATTGGAAGCTGCACGGGAGTATCGGAGCGCCCTTCTGAGACAAGGGCTGCAGCGATGGCAGCTAGAGTTGCTGCTGTCGGCTTTTGACGTGGGAGGCCCATGCACGCTCCCGCGAGGGTGTCAGGACTTGCCTCCAGTGCGGAAGAAGCAGCGAGCCTCCTTCACAGCCGCGATAGCTGCAGCAGCCCCGGCTGAGCGGGCCCGGGCGCTTCAGGACTTAGATGATGAAGTGCTGGCTCGGACCACGGTGGGACCAACAGGCGAAGATTTTGCCAGGAATCGGAAGTGGTCGCATTCCCTTTGGATGAGAAAAATATCAGAGCGGTAGGAGCATCTAAAAAGGGGGCGGGCAGCACCGATTCTCCCCCCAATACTATTCGGCGGCGATCTCATGTCAAGTTCGTCGGCTTCACGTTCCACTTTCCCCATACGCCGACTCGCTTGATGTGTGCCGCCTTGGGCCGCACGTGCTGCCCAGGTCTGAGTTCGAGCCCTTTTCTTGGGCATCATTGCCAGCCTTTTCTTTCGGTGAGCTGAGAGTCCAGGGGACGCGCTCCTAGCACAAACGAATTCAGGCGAAACCGATTGAAGCCGAAAGGCAAGCAGTATGCACTCCGGAAAGCAGCAGATGCCTGTGACAGCCAACATGCTTGTCCTGGAACAGAAATCTGCCAAGCCCTTGGAAGGGTGCAGAAGCAAGCGCTAGCAGAGGGGATGCAACCGGCAAGGTAAAAACCGTCTCGACTTCCTCACAAAACCAAAAGGGGTGAAGTGAGAACTCCATGAGTAACCACGAAAGTCCAAACCCCACAAACTAAGGCGGTGTAGCTCATCACGTTCGTGACACAACTCCACACGTCGCGTCAGCACTACAAGCCTCGACCACCTGGGTCCCACATCCGTTCGTAGAGCAGGCCATGTTCGTGCAAAGCAATACCTACCATGCTGCCCGAAGCATTTCCTGCGACGGAACGGCTCATCATCACAACCACGTTGCCATTGACCTGCTGCGTCGCAACTTGTCCAAAAGCACACCCCTTAACCGCAATCACGAGATACGCCATGGTTGCTTGCAAGTCGCCCTGTGCTTGCAAGTTGACTCCAATCAACAGCTGCAGTCCAGCATGGCGCCGGGTGACTGGCGCAGCAGAGGTTGTAGCAATTGATTTGTGCGGCTGTTTCATGGACATCGCACCCTTCAGCTTGAAGAGCAGACTGTCAAGAGGCTCCCAAACACCCTTCCACTCGGTGCAGAGACTGCCGATATCATGTGACCGTAAGAACAGCTGTCTGCCACGTCCATGGCCGGTGCAGCCACCACCTAACATGTTACTAGTGCCGTGCGCGGAATGGAAGCTGAAATGGCTTTCAACTGCAGCAACCACGCTCCCAGGACTTGCACTCTCATCGCAGCCATTTGCCGCCATGTTATTTGGGCTATCTTCATGGTCAGCAAACTTTTGGGCACGTACTCAATGACATGTATTCCAGTTTTGGCCCTGCTGAAGGTTGCACTGCAATGTGCATGCCAAGATCACACGGTTGGACCAAAGATAAGGAAGGTCTCACAGGAAGCTCTGGCATAGATACGGAATCAGCGAGATCCAAAGCCGCGTCAACATGCTCTGCTCGACCTGTGCTTTCCACCTCCTCCGGTTGACAAGTGCAGAAATCATCCAACGTGGGCCAAGGAGTGTTGCACCCAACGTCTGTATAACGCGGCCACCGTGACATTTCCCGGGCAGGATGCCCTTCCGGCCTGCCAATATACAGACATGCCCTTTACTCCGCAGCGTTCCTCTTCCCATGACGGGCAACTGATGAGGAACTGGGGCCGCCAGCAATCTACCTACCTCCAGCTGATAGGAGTGTTCTGGGAGGGAGATAGAGATGGCTACTGCTTCTGGATCGCACATCTAGAGGGGATGATTCATTTGCTGCTACCGGTGCACAAGACAGTCGCGGCATCTGACCTCACAGAGCGAAGCTTGGCATGCGGCTGCGCTGTCAGGCGACAGGCGCTGTGCCCGTGCCACGCCGCTCAGCGTCGCCTTCAGCGCCTGGAGATTTTACAGGGTTCTCTTGATGTGCCCTTTGTTCCCGGGCGACCAAGGGGTTTTGAGCAAGGGACAGATGGTGGCCCTGACTGAGACGCTAAGGAAGGCGGGCATTGAGACCATCAGACGGGATGGGACAGGCACTTTCATCGAACGCTTCGGCGGGCACATCTTGCGCGTGTCGGGCACTCAAGTGGGACTTGGGACTCGGACTTGGTACGATTACATGACCGGTGGTCGTCAGTGGCCATCCAGGGGTGCTTGCAGGTCCCTTCTTCGGTTGCTTATGAGGTGCGCCGACTCTCAGAGGCGAGGCCGTGACTCCCATCACAGAGGCTAGTGCTGCGGCCGGGGAAGCCCCCTCAGCGCTCGGGTCGATGACTTCGAGGAGGTATCTTGTGCTCCTCCGTTAGCAGATAGGACAGTGGAGCCTCAGGGGGAGCAAGCCTTACGTCTTGAGTTTCAGGGCTTTGCGGAGGCCACGGCCGAGGGAGAATCGCTGGTGGTTAACACCAGGACGCGGAAAGCGCACAAGCCTGACCCGGCAGAGCAGGCAGATGACCCAGCACGGCGGTCCACATCTTGCGGCATTCTTCATGAGAACGCGAGGTTGTTCAGGACCAGGAGCGATCGGCCAGAGTGGGCCGGTGCAAGACATGTTCTCCTCCTTCGGATTCTCTCAGTGGAGCGGCTGAGGATTAGGGCTCCGGGAGTGAGGTTGCCTCGAGCTCGATCGATTCGTCATCGTCTTCCAGCAGCTCGTCGTCGTAGCTTACAGGTCTCGGCGCGGGGACAGCTTTTCAGAGAAGGCAGTGGGCGAGCGAGTTCCCTACTGGGAAGTTTAGTCTTGTCGGGGAGCAGGGTTGCCCTCCCACTTCATTTGTCGAAGCCCGCAGTGGTTCGAGTTCCGTTATTGATTACGTGCTGCCAGGACATTGGATTGCCGATCAGTTCCCCGCTTCGAGTGCCAGGACTGATGGTGGTGAAATAGACCTCCCATTTCAGTAGTCGACTTGCAGTGCGGAGGCCGGGTCAGCGCGCGAGCTGTAGCCAAGCCGATTTTGATCCGCATGTTTTGCTGACCTGGCAGGTGGTCCCCGCAATGGCTTCAAGATCGAGCGTCGTCGTACTGCCGCGCCTTCAAAACGTCGCCGTAAGAGAGTGCACCAAGGGTCTGTGCAGTCATGCCCGCATGTCGGTTGCGCCAGCGCCGGGCCGCAGCACCGTCCGAGCCGTGGCACCCGCTGTGCGTGAGCAGCAACTTCGCACCGCTGCCGCTGGGCGAAGTCATGTCGCGGAGGAGCTTCGATGCGACGGGCCCGGTGAATGCGCTCTCCAAGCGCAAGCAGCGCAACGAGCTCATGGTGGTCGTCGACAAGAAGGACAGGTTGGTTATGGAGGAGGGGTTGATGTCTGCGATGCCCTGAACGGGCATACGTGCTCTCGGAGTGGGGCCACGTCACCTCCTGATCAGGCGCGCCAGGCAACACCCACGATGCTGACACACTATTACTCACTATCAAACGGCGGCGATGTGGCAGCTGCGCACGGCCGGGCGGCAAGACCTTCGCTGAGGCTCTCCAGATGCTCAAGGATGACGTGTGAACTTGTACCAGGAGCACATGGGACCGTTGCCCGCACAGCTAAAGCAGGGGCCGATCGGAAGCGGAAGCAGATGGAGGAGCAGCCCAGCAACGGTGGAAAGCGCGGACAGCAGCAGGGCAACAAGTGGCAGGCTAAGGATGACGGCAAGGCCTGGTGGTGTGACAACTGGCAGAAGCCTCTTTTTGAAGCCTCGTGGTTGGGGAGTCCGAGAGCCCGAACGAACGGGTCGTATCTTCCTCCCCCGAAAGGTCAGGAGAGTTCTGTCGTCGTTCATCCTAGATCGAGCCGATGCCTGGGTCGGGCTCAGGTGGAGCTGGACCGGGACCGGGTAGGTCCCCCTTGACTGGACATGCGGATGATGTATGGCGGCCGGCAAGTGCCCGGCACATGCGGCCCAAGGAGCCGGCATTCCCACCACCAGCACCACCACCGCCCAGCATGCCTGCCCTGCTGGCCGAAGAGCCGAGATCCAACCAGAGGGTGAAAAAGAGTCTGTGCGACGAAGCCATGTGGCTCATGCACTCGGTACTGAAGCTGGGACTGGCCGCTCAAGAAAGAGACAGAGCGTCCTCGAATTTAGCAAACTCGGGGGTGCACCGTGGGTCAGCATTTCTCTGCTTGTGCCACAGGTAAAAGAAGTGGTCGCCCCCCCCCCCGCCTTCCCCGGCATGATCGAACTACTCGTATAGACTCGCATGGAGACATCATCCCACTGCTGCGAAACCCCGGCAGTTCCACAAGACCCGACATTGCAGCAAGGAGAGAGTGTGCGGATGCCTGTGCGAGATCATGCCTGCGTACGTCCGCGCTAGTGCACGCTTGCCCTTGTTTGCTCTCTCTCTCTCTCTATCTTTCGTTCGTTTGTCTCTCTCAACGCTGACGATAAAGCACATGCAGCTTCGCTTTTGTAACATTACCAGTACCATGGCATCAACAATAACAATGCTGTAACAATGCAACAGTTTATGATTGCACCTTCACTGCGTAGGATTCGTGATTCATGATTTGAAACCAGACATTGTTTTCTATCTTCAGGTCGAAGGCGTGTTCGAAGGTGACGAGATCATCTCCATGAATGGCGAACCCCCTTCCAGCTCGACCCCCAAGGGAGTGTTGGCCCTTGTTTTCAAATGTGTTTCAAGTTCTCCCTGTCGCAGCCCGAGCTGCCCATCTCAGGGGTGGAGGAGCGAATCCTATCAAAAGGCGATTCATGGAACGCGCTTGGACCTCAACAGTCAGAGAGTAGAACGGTAGAGGCCGCTGCACCCGGCATCTTGAACCTTTGAACATTCCTGCTGTCGTCGCTGGCAGTGGCAGCTTCTGCATCGCGCAGTCTTTGTGTTCTGCGGTTGAACCGCCGAGCCCTTGCAGCTACAGGTGTTCTGTGGCCACTCCTCCTCATTTAGTCGGCTCGAAGGGAAAGCCTCAATCTCAGAAGTGGGCATCGTGTGGGCAGAAGGGTCCTGGATCAAAGATGTGATTGCGTGTGATTCGGGACTGCCAGAATAATTATCCGGAACGGAGGCAACTCAGCGAAACAGCAGGGAGGGAGCGAGAGAAGGGGAGTGAGGAGGGAAACGAACCCTGTGTTGAGAAACAGGAAAGGAAGAACCAGAGTGTCACACCGCTCAAGTCCGCGTGGGCCTGGGTGTGCTGCCCTTGCTCAGCTTTGCTCCTGCTGCACGGAAGCCTGGACAGATCCCTGCCTCAAGCCAATGTTTCAATCTGACTCACGTTCAACAAGAGCTCGTGCTGTTAGGTGCATCCTGTCGAGCTCGCACGAGGAGCAAAGCCCTTATTTTTTTTTTTCAGCCGCCACCGCCAACGACGAAGAAAACCGCTTCGGCACCAATGACGTTTCTTCTCTGAGGCTGTAATGAGGGGGCAGGTCCGTGAGGATACCTCCCCAGAGTCCGATCGGACGAGCCCCTATGCCTGTGGCCAGGCACATTATTCGCCCCAGACAGAGGGTCCCGCACCCACACACAACAGTCGAGCAGCTGTTCGAGACAGTGGGGGGCTTGACGTGGTCCAGATCAACAGGAGATGAACATAGATGAACTCCCTAGAGCGGAACGCTGTCCCTCACCCCGAGCATTGCTGGAACGCAGACAGTTGCCATTTACCTCGATGCCAGTTTTCGACTAGCTCCGGTCAAAGGAGCGCCAACTAAGTTACAGAGTTTTTCATTTTACTTAGTGCTGGGCCGCGAGCCACAGTCCGTCTCACAGTCTTGCTATGACATCTTTCTTCCGATGCTCAGATCAGGGCTCACAGCAAGTTCACATCCTTGCCAGCCTCGACAAGACCTTGAGATGTCACTAAACAGGTGCAGTCTCAGTTTGCGATGTACTAATGTGCTAGTGAAGAAATTGTATATAAATTCAGCTCGACCTGTGTTCTTGCTTTGTCATGCCGGCGGTGGCCTCGCGCCCGAGTCGCCAGAGCTTTGCTGTCCCATATGTGGCGCCTGGTACTGTGTTCAGCGATGTGCCAGGCTTTGAGATGCCTTGAGAGGACTTTACGTGCAGACGCAACCTTTGATACATGTTCTGAGGACATTACCCGACAACTGAGAGAGCGCCTTCCTTGGTGCTCCATTGCGTTTTTGGCACTCGTTGGAACTCTCAGTTCTGCGCTTGCGGCGGGTTCACCGAAGCCGACATGTTTGGGGGAAAAGCCCAGAACTCGGCTGCTTCCGGGATCTTCCGGGTTGTTGAAGATGACCTGACGCAAATTTGCCCCAGGAAACTTTCGTATCTCGTGCTGGACGCGAATTTAATGGTGTTCTTCGTTACGTAGCTTGGCTAAGGATGAACGAACTGCTGCTTGCAAAGATCGGAGATGTATAACGTCTGTTGCACAAAAAATACATACAAAGGCTTGTCCTCAACGGAGCCCCGGTTGAGCTCACACTGCTCGCAGCTGGAGCTGTCGCATGCTTCGCTGGCCTGCTCGAACCGGGAGCTCTCTTCGAAGGATGCGCGTCAGATGCAGCAGGGAACCCGGTTGATCGAGCAGAGGGGGCTCATTTCGATTTTATACGTCCTTTTGTAATTATTAGTGCAAGCCAGCAGAGCAGGTACGGGATCTGTGAAAAGTCACGAAATCTCTTGACAGATTGCGACAGAATCCCCGAACCCTGGCAAACACAGGGCTTGTACGTTGAAGAGGGCTTTCACTTGCAACCAAGCAACAGCAGAGTCTAAAGCCGAACACGTGTAGCCAGGGCTTCTCGAAGCTCGCACGAAGGTGGTCACGTTGGCACTGTTGTTTCCGATCATGAAGGCAATGGGTGACACCGGCATCCCTGAGACACTGATAGGCTATGTTCTGGGAAAGACGAAGGGACTGCGGCCGATGCTTTTTTTGATGTTTGCGTCCGTGGCATTCCTTTCGGGCTTCTTCAACAACACACCCATTGTGGTCATGATGATACCCGTCTTGCAATCTCTCTGCCAACGTCGTGGGCTGCCCCCTAGGACGCTGCTCATGCCTTTGAGCTTCGCTGCCCAAGCAGGAGGGAGTCTGACATTGATGGGAAGTTCCCTCAACTTCGTCGCTCAGGAAGTCTTTGCAGGCAAGGGCTACCGCATCGCTTTCTTCACATTCTCACCTGGCGGTGCAATCATTGTTTTCTTTGGTGCAGTGGTGACTTCGCTGCTTGGCCCCCGGATGTTGGCAAGCTCTGAAGGCTCCTCACACTCAGAGGGAGAGCCATCGGCGAGCAGAGAGGCATCTGCCAAAGATCATTTCACACTACTTCTGCGCGTTCAAAGCACGAGCCCATTAATCGGTGTGTGCATAATGGATGTTGGATTGCATCGTATTCCTGGAGTGCAGGCCATAATTTCACTGCTGCGTGGGGGTGATGGCACGAGCACGCACGGCCCAGACAGCCTCTCAACAATTGAGCTACAACAGTTCTCCGACATGCTCCTCCAGTCAATGCAGGAGGTTTCTGAAAGGCTGGAATACAAAGGATGGGATCAGTTGGCAGATCTGCAACTTCAAGAAGGAGCGAGACTAATTTAACATACGTGCGTAGTGCAGCAAATTCATGTGAGAGTATTTATTCAGTGTTAGATGTGCTCTCTATCCATGCTGTAATTTTGCAGGAGACCTTTTGCAGATCGGGTGCAGTGCTGCTGGTGCGTCAGCCGTGTCTCGAGCTGCACCGAGTCGAGCAAGCTTTGTGTTTTCCTTTCGATTTGGGAACTGCACTCAGCAGGTACGCCGTGTGAAAGGCTTGGAGCTCAGCAACGAAGCAGAGGTGCATCTATTGGGAGCGCAGCGACGCGCCAGATCCCTTTGTGAAGTCACTATCAAAGACGATCTAGTTGGCAGCAAAATTGACGCGACTCGGTGGAGGAAGGAGCTCCGCTGTGCGGTTCTCTCTGTGAAGGGTGCAGGACAGGAAGAATCAGACCCAACGAGAAGACCGCATCCCTGCAGTTTTCATAACTACACGCTGCAAGCTGGTGATGTGCTGCTGGTGGAGGCATTCCGCGACATGGTCGGTTCCGACGTTTGGCTAGACCACTTTGGAGTTGCACGTGTAGAACCGAACTCTGCTCCACCACGTTCTGGACAAAAGTCGGATATCCTGCGCGCTGCTTTCATTGTGCTCGGCCTGATCGTCGTGATTTCCCTGGCATCTTTGGGAAACAAGCGACTGAGCATGCCCCTAATGTCTGTCATCTTCTTGTGCTGCATCATAGCGGTGAAAGGTCTCAAGATGGAGGAGGCATACGGCGAGGTGAACGGTACGGTATTGCTTACCATCGTGGGTGCCTAGGCCCAAGCACCGTAGACAAGGA